AAGTATATATGACGGTAAGTAGCGTAATCCCCCTCCTCAAGATGTAGCAAAGCATCAGTACCCAGCATAGCATTAACAACATCCCGGGAAAAGAACATATTAGCAATCCGCATATCGACTGGGGGTGCTGAGGGAGGGTCCTGAGAAGTGTACCCCCAGACATGACGCAAGAAGCGGTCCCCCAAAAACCAGGCCCTACTAACTGGCCCTTCGAATAGGAGCTTGTACCGGGAGGCACCCCACCCTCCGGCAAACTGGAATCGGAGACCTTCACCTAAAGGCGCCCAGGGCTTCCATGTAATCTGCGGATAATAGGCGCATAAACCAAGCAGCCGGGCGAGTGGGGGTGCTCATAGCTGACCTTTCCCAATCGTACCCAAGTTCCCGAGTCGAATAAACACCGGTGATGACGGACATGTGGCCTTCGGCACCGAGTCAGGGTTTCCTAAATTTTCCCATTTTAAAATATTTAGGTGGCGACTCTGTATCTGGCAAAGCAGTCCATGTTTGGCACTACTTTTTCAAAAATCTGTTTCTCAAAACGATTTGCCAGATTTGGACTCTTTGGTTCAGATTTAGAACCGTGACACAAATCGAGTCCGAACTGTAGCATCGAGGCCCCTCCCCGGGCGCTGTCTACAGATAACCTTCGCCTCTACTCTTTAAGCCGAACAGTGTTCAGAGAGGGGAATGGTAAGAGCCAAGTGTCACTTTTCTCACTTTCAAGTCTTTATTACTGTTATTCCTCTTGTATGTTCTAATGGTTGTTGTTTACTTTGCAGCACTTCCTTAACCACCCCAGGACTTTTGCAAGACATTTTACCCCAGCAAGGATTTCAAGAGATTGTTGGGTTTGCCAGTTGACAAACAGAAAGCCCCTCTGCTGCTCAATTACATTCCTACATACAAATCCACTATGCCCGACGTCCCGAAGAAAAACAAGTCTCTACCCTCAACAACAACTCCTCAAGCTGAGTCATCATCAAGGCCAGACCAGGGATCAACCTCTAACCTAGTAGAACAACCATCAACCTCTGCTCCACAACTGATTCCACCTTTTCAAAGCCAACGCCAACGTCGAGCTCCACTGCTCGCACCAGTAGGTAGGACTCGTAGCTGAAGAGGCCGAAGTGCCAAAGCATCCTCTTACGATCCAACCAATCCTCTCATTGCCCTGCTAACAATTCACTTTGACACAAGAGTCATAGTTGCCATGACCTCCGACGAGATGGGACGCAAGAAGACTGTTGCCGAAGACCTCTTGGCCGACATCCCCAACGTTGTCACAGTCCAATCCTCACCTTCCCAGTCTCAACCCAAACCAAAGCCAAAGAGGCTAAAGAAAGCCCAAGCCAAGGCAATGGTGACTCAGATCAACTCTGAAGACACCTTGCCGATCTCAAAAATAGCTGAGGCAGAAAAAAGTGCCTCTACCGTCGAAAAGAGGCCCGCAAAGGCTGCTCCCTCCAAATCCACCCAGTCAAAGAAGTCGAGGTCGGAGTCCGCTATAACCTCGAGGTCACAGAAATTTGATGCCCCCTAGGCCCCTTCAATCACAATTGAGGACAAGCCAGTCAGAGTCGGCGACAGCGCGACTGACATTGAAGTCGGCGTTGCCCTCTCTACGGCCTTGCTCCTTCCCCAAGACCTCGAACGTAATGCCGAGATCAGTGAATACGAGAATTTTTCTCTGATGTTGCAGCACTCTATACAAGTAAGCCCCTAACACTTAGTACTCTTCATTCTCTGTTTTTCCATACTTAGAGAGTTTTATTAACTTTTTATTTTTTTTTCATTTCTTCTAGGCGATTCAGCACGCCCACTCCTTCGCGATGCAGGCCTTCGACATTAAGAAGGAGTTGGCCTGTAAGACCAAGGAAGCTGCTGGCTTGCTTAAATCGCTGAAAAACGCCGAGGCCAAGATGAGAGGACTGATAGACCAGGCTAAGGCAGCCAAGCAAGCTCAAGATAAGGCTGAAGAAAAGACCAGGGCTGCAAAGGCTGTTGTTGAGGTCCTCAAGGCCGAGAAGAAAAAGGCCGAAGTAAAAAATGCCGAAGCCCAAGCCAAGCTCCTCGCTGCCTTAGCCACAATGGACGCCAAGATCAAAGCGGTGGACGAGAAGGCATATGTCGAGGGGGCAGCCGACGTCCGCGAGGACTACAAGAAGCAAGTGAAAAAGGCATGCAACAAGGGTTACACCCTTGGCTGGATGGCTTCCTTGAAAGAGTTGGCTATCCCCTAGGACTCAACTCTCTGAGATAACAACCTCCTCGTCCTACCATTCCCCCCCACTTCAAGCCAATTCGAGGATGAGGCTGAGTTCGAGGAAGATGCCGAGGTCGACAAGTCTGAGAAAGCAGAAGCTGCTGGGGCCAAGTCCCCAACTCTGAATGAGCAAGTCTTAGACTTGACTTAGGATGAGGAGGACGAGGTCTCAAAAGATGCCTCCCCCAGGAAGACAACATCTGAGGCGCCTATCGCCGAGAAGAGCCTCGACTAGACTCTTGAAGAGATCGATGCCGAGCTCGCGGCTGAGAAGGCTGCTGAAAAGAGTTCCCAGATGTCTTCTGAGCCCTAAACCCATCTAGCCGATGACGCTGAATAGTCTAGTTTTGAAGTTTTTCCTTATTTCTTGTACCTTGTGCTTTTTTCTTTTGAACAATGTTTAGCTTTTATTTGGCCGATATGCCTTTTTGTACTCTGAACAAGTAATCTTCAATGTCAGGCCGAAGT